TCTATTTCATTTTCTATATATATATATATTTTTAATTTAGTTCTTGATAATATTTTCTTTATTGTATTTTTATATTTATTATAATAAAAGTGATTATGAAACTAAAATTCTTAATAATAACAATACTTTGACTGCTATATATTTGAACACAGTAGATTATTGATTTAAAACACTTCAACTTAGTGGACAAAAAAATTTATCCTGAAGGAAAATGAATTTTTTTTTGTGAGTTTGTTAGTAATGTATATCTTTCAAACATATTTCATTTAATGGACTTTCAGCATTAGCAAACATTCTTTTTCCAATTAGTCCAATAAATTGAGGACTTGCTGTATCTCAGCTTATAAAATGATATTTTTATATTATTTTATGATGATTATAACTTTATGAAATATTTTAGAGCATAATGTCGAAGAGTCCTTCAGCAAATGGTCAATCTCCTACTGAAAGTGAGCAGTTTGATAGAGATTTGCAAGAAGTAATGGAAACTGCACCCACGCTTAATGAAAGCAACGAAGTTGTTCATACTGGGTCTGTCTCACAGACATCTAAATCTGATGCTGTGACTCCTCCCTCACAGCCAGCTGTCCGTCCGACTTCTCTTCCAGCAAATACATTACGAAGATCTTGGGTACCGCAAGGTATTATTTGATATTTTTGTATTAGTTTATTTTCAGAATTGTTTACTTGATAAATTTTGTTTTGTAAATCAGAGAACTAATCAAGCACATTAAAATTAATTATAAAGAAAATCCATGTAATATAGTTTTATTTAAAGATATTGAGATGATTTAAAATATTTTAATAATTATAATTTTGTTTCTAGTAAAAGCTAAACTATGGTTAAATTTANCTACGTTTACAACCCTCACCCAATCAGTGAGCACACACCACAAAAGGGTGATTTTCCGACATGAACGAAAATTTTACATACACGGATCCATAATCTGATACGAGATAAACCGAAATAAGACATTACATTTGTGTACAATACAATTAGTGCTGTAGCACTACACTAGTAAAAGCTAAACTATGGTTAAATTTATATTGCTGTTTTTAATTTATTATTGTTCATTTTATTTAACCTCTTTTCAAAATTTAAATAATTCAGTAAAAGGTTGATGAACATATAGGAATTTTAATATTTTTGTAATTTTTACTGTTAATGAATCTAGTTTATTTACAAATGCAAATTGTATATATTTATTTAACTTTAGCAAGATTGGTTAATCATTTATTTTAGCTAAATAAATAAATAAATAAATAAATGATTAACCAATCTAAAGTATTTTATTATAACATTAGCATATTTTACATCAATTAAAAATATATAGATGGAAATTACAGATCACTAAAATTTAAAATGAAATTTAATCTGAAAATCAATAAATTGTGATTAATGATTTTTCTGAAGGATTCTCTGAAAAAAAAAAAGGATAGTTAAAATTTTATGATACAATATTTAATCTTTAACATTGGTTCAGTTATAATATATGCTGAATCAGAAAATATTTAAAGAAATAAACAATAATTTTTAGACATGAAGATAGGCCTACAACATTTAAAATCAAAATTATTTAAAATAATCATTTTGATGTTAACTGTTGTATTGGAGGTGCAAATATGCATAAGTGATGCTGTGAAGGGTCAAAAACTGTAAAATGTAGAATTGATAAAACAAAAATATATGAATCTAAGAATTAGTCAAAATGTAAAAAATTCAGATTAAAAATATTAGCAAGGTTGTGGCCAAAGTTTTCATCTCTAAAACATGAACATCGAATGTCTAGTGCCGCTTTCAAGATAGCGGTGCTTGATGTTCAATGTTCACATTTTACAGATGATAACTTCAGCTACAACCTCACTATTAACTTGAGACCATTATTTGGCAAATCATCATAAAAAATGCTATCAATTTTAATTTGCTTTAAATTTTATTATTTAGGATGTGATGAAAAATGAGAACAGTTAACAATTAAGAGTCACTAGACCATTCATCTATTCATCATAAACTTGAAAGATTTATTTAAAAGAAGAATACGTTTGAATAGGCTGACTTTATTGAATTAAAACTTTGAAACACTTTTTTTTTTTTTTTTTTTTTTACAATTATGGCTACATATATCATATTTCAAACTTTTTTTTATGAGTTGGAAATAAAAGGGGGTTTTCCTTTNGATTTATTGACCCTTCTATCCAATATTGTTTCTGTTGATAATTTCTCCGATACTGTGACCCTTCAATCTCATGACATCGTGTCTATAACACATTTTCAACAGAGAATAGGCTGTATTCAACTCAATTTTTTAAGAGGGTAGGCTACGTGACCAGGCTCAGACCTCCTTTTATACTGATTCATATATTCTGTTTATTTTTTAGTAAAGATTTTGTCTTTTACTTATAAAATGGAAAGTTAAACAAATATATACATTATTCTGCTAATTTTTTAATATAAATCTAGTGTAGCAGTTAATTTGTACAAAAATTTAAACTTAAAAAACTAAATTTTCTTACCACTTTTATATGAAAATCACACTGTAATGTGAGCAGCAATAACTGCAATTACAGTAATAATAGTGAAGAATATTGTAATACTTGTTAGTTAGTAATAATATAGTAATGGCACTTAATTCTTAGCTAAATGCTTTTATCATGCAGAAAAAAGGTTTGAATTATATATTAACTAAGGCTCAACTGCGATAAAAAGCATGCTGCATAGGGAATAAAAGCAATTTTTACTACTGTATCTTTCTTTTCTTACTTCCATGCATCTTTCTGATTTTTAAAAAAAAATCTTTAAGTGCTATACTTAATCCGCAATTTCTAGTAGAAATCATTCAATATTCAAAACTGAATTTATTCAATCAAAGAAATGTACTACGCATTTTTTGATGAAAGGAAAATGGATCTAGACCTTTCAACTTCATAAAGAAAAATCTATTCTGCTTGAAAACATCTAAAGTCGATTTTTTTCCATATATAAAATTTATTTAAGTTAGGAAAAATTCTAAATGCATTTTTATTCTAGAAAAATTTTTTAAAGGAAAATGGATCTAGACCTTTCAACTTCATAAAGAAAAATCTATTCTGCTTGAAAACATCTAAAGTCGATTTTCTTCCATATATAAAATTTATTTGAAAAATATAAGAGTGAATTTAATAAATTTCCCATATCTTTGGCTCCTCAAAAAAAAAAGATTATCAGGATTGCTGTTGTTTCTTTTTCATGTATTGATAGTAAAGCATTTTAAAGCAACTGGAGTAGTTTACAAGATGTTTTTTACTTGTGAAAACCAAACTAAATATTATGTACGCAAAACAAAAATAGTACTCGAAAAAAGAGCATTGAGCAACTATCAGATTAAATATTATGATGTCATGTATTTACATTGTAGTGAAGCAAATTGTAACATCAGTGCAGATAATATAAAAGTTGTTGAAAGAATACTATTAGAAGAAAAATTAAAGAACGTTTTTTAATAATAAAGATAATACAGGTATACCTCGACTTATGTCGTTTCGAGTTACATCGTTCCCGATTATACGTCGTTTGTCAAAAAAGTATACGAAAAAATAAAAATCAAGTTTAAGTCATTTTATTTGACTTTACGTCCGTCCGCCACAAATATTGAAGTCGTAATATCACTAGAAAAGCATTTAAAGCACATAAAATCATATTAAAATATACACATTTACAAGTATGTACTGTATTTACGGTACAGTACATGCATTCGTAAATTTAGATTACTTTTTTTCCGTACTATATTAAAAACTAAAATTTATTTGTTTGTAAGCTTAAAATAGATTCTTATTAACCATATATTATTAAAAATGCATTAATAAATAAAATACAGAACTGGAAATAGTAATTTATAGTTTAGCTTAGTGACAAGTAGATTCGGAGACAAGTAAATTCGACTTACGTCGTTTTTCGACTTAAGTCGTTTTCCTGGAACCAATTACCGACGTAAGGCGAGGTATACCTGTATAAACAATGGCATTAATGTTGATGCATATGGATTGAATTGTATTATAGGTGAAGAGGCTGAAGCATTATTACTTTGGCAAAGTGCATTATATAGATAGCTTATTGTATGATGAAATGTAAGAATTAAAATAACACTTTCTTGATTTAAGTGTTATTTGAATGTTTTTAACCTTTTTAAAGTTTAAGTTGTCAGTTGTAACCAAAGAACTGTCAACACCAATAATTGTTAAACTTCTGCATTCGTGCTTTATCAATTGACAGTTTACCACACTTTCAAAAACTTAAAATCTAATCCGACCTTTCTTAAATAGTTCATATTTGGTAGACTGCTTCACTTTATTCCATGGTTTTTTGTGAATCTTATTGCATCAAGAATGTTTAATTTTGGTTTAGCTTTGGAATTTTTGCTGGATGCAAACTTTTTATTAGTTTATGCACCACACATTTAAAATGTGTTTTTAAATTCTTTAATAATTCCCAAATTGAGAGGTTGCAAATAACTAGTACAATTTGGAGGTAATAACCTGAGGAATATTTCTCAGGTTCATTTGAGGTGAATGGCTTGGACGTTAACCAGAAATAAAATTTTTGTTGTGAATGGATTTTTGGTTAAGAAGTTTCTCCTTTGTTTAATAGTGATTTGATTATTTTGGTGAATATATAGATGTATTTGCTTTCAATTTAATATAAATTTTTGATTTAGAATTTGTATTATCAAGTTCCAATTTGTTTTGTATAATGATTTTAAATAAAAACTTTTGGGAAAGAAATTCTTATGACACAAATTTTATCTATTTGCTATTAAGTTCACAAGAAACTGATGTAATAAGAAATAAGTTAAATAGAATTTGACAAAAGAACATAATGATATGGGTAAACTGGATATTCTTCACTAACCAATTTTTATCTATATATCAATAATTTAATTAATTTTAATTTCATATTTAAAAAAATTAAAGTAATAAATGACTAGTCTAATGATATTTATGTGTAATTCAATTTGTGATTATAGATTAACAATAAAGCTGCAACTGGTGAGGAAGCTCCAAAAAGTATATTGGTCACTTCCAGACAGCAGTATGGATTACCTGAAGATGCAATTGTATATTGTAATTTCAACCAGTTGTACAAAATTGATCCTGCTACACTGCAAACATGGGCCAATGTGAGTTTTTTTTATTTGAAACTAAGTTGTAGATTTTAATAAGTATAATTTTATGTACACACTTAATTTGTGCACTTTCCTCCATAGATTTTAAAACGGGTGCCAAACAGTGTCTTGTGGCTTTTGCGATTTCCTGCCGTTGGTGAACCAAACATCCTTTCGTCAGCAGCACAGATGGGAGTGCCACACAACAGAATCATATTTTCCAACGTAGCGGCCAAAGAGGAACATGTGAGACGGGGTCAGTTAGCAGATGTGTGTTTGGACACTCCTCTCTGCAACGGACACACTACCGGAATGGATGTTCTATGGGCAGGCACACCAATGCTGACTCTATCAGGCGAAACTTTAGCTTCTAGAGTTGCCTCTTCTCAGTTAACATGTCTAGGTGTACCAGAATTAATTGCTAGATCAAGGCAAGAATATGAAGACATTGCTGTAAGATTAGGAACCAATAAAGAATAGTAAGTAACTTTTATTTTGCACTAAATAAGCATACCAGACAAAAATTAGTTGCCCCTAATAGAAGTGACAGTAGGTAGTTGTTACCGATTGCACAGAGAATTCTATGAGAGAATTGTTGGGAGGTCATGGATGTTGTCTACAAGGTCATTTCTCCTTGTGAAGCAGTGAAGAGCAATGTGAGTGTTGAATTGTCTACATTATAATCGTACAGCAGATGTTACCAAGTGGCAAAAAGAACCCATTACGTTTGGCCACAGACACAGTTAATGAAGCTGCCCAATTTGTTGGTGTGTCAAAGCATACTGTCCAGTGGGTCTAATATGATGAATTTTGAATCATTACAATCTTCTATATGATCAATGTGACAAAGACTATGCAAACTTAATACATATCAATTAGTATAAAGTTAATATCTCCCAATAGAAACATAGATCAGATTACACTTAAATTTAGATTCTGCTTCTATAGTTAGTTGTCTTTAGTTCACTGATTTTATAATTTTGTTTTGCATGATACCTAACTTCTCTCAATGCTTTCTTCTAATATGAATTGATCAAAAACAAACAGAATAAAATCTTGCCATATATAGCCATTTAGTACGTGAAGTAAAAAAATTCAGTTTTAACATCTTGTTTTGTTAAATAAGCTTTGATTCTTGCTTTCCATTGGAATAACAGAAAAGGTTGTTTATGCTAATACAGTTTGCCATATACAGGAAACAGATATTACACAAATAACTGAAGATCATAGTTGAAAGAAGCTTGTCAAAATTGGTTCCATTGTAGTTAGATTAATTTTTTTCCTGCATTCCATTCTTTAAGTTCTCATATAGGCAGTAAGTTATCAATTGTGATAGTAGGTCATAGTTGATCATAAAAAAGAAACTTCATGTTATAACAAAGTATCATAATGTGGTACTTAAAATTGATTGCAGTGTAAAGACAATGATAACATTGAATTTTGCAGAAAGCTTAAATTATTAGTTTAAACATCTTTAGAGTTGCATATTTTAAGTGTCTCCAATACTTTTGTTGGGGAGATTTACTATTTGAAATTATTTAATGTATAAAAATACTTGTAAATTTTTATAAACTAACTATTAATGAATAAGACAGATCTAAAATGTTTTATTCTTTCCAGCCTCAAGGCCATCCGAGCCAAAGTGTGGCGTGCCAGGACGGAGAGCCCTCTATTTAACGTGAAAACCTACGCTTCGAATCTGGAACAGCTCTTCTACAAAATGTGGTTGAGATACGAGAAGTCGGAAAAACCCGATCACATCACGGAATAAATCATTTGTATCATAACATTACCTATTATTATAAAGCAATCGAAGCTCTGTCATTCCTTTCAAATGTTGCCACGAAAATATCGGCTGCTCGAAAGTGCCCATTCTAATAATTATTTTCTTTGTGATTATCATATTACACGAATTGATTGTGTACATTGAGTTTAATAAGGAACGTAAGGAACAGTCTTTCAAGATTTTGTAAACAATTATAACCCTCCAATAAGAATTTTCGAGACTTTTATTATTTTTTTTAATTCCAGTTAGATTAAATGGAATGAAATTAAAAACACTCTATATAGCAGTTCTTGTGTACTTTCCATAGATTTTCTTGGCATGGATGTCAAGTTGGTTAAAAAAAAAAGCTTGTGGATAGATTTTAGAAATGCACATCAAACAGTATTGTGTGAAAAAGTTTCCCTTGTATAAATAAATATTTCTTACTTATTCCCCTGAAATATATCTGCAAATTTTTTCCCACCGACGCTCGGTTGTTTTTTACGTTGGTTTATGGTGTTAATTAGCTAACTAAATTTTTCTTATAAAACGAAATAGTGAGTTCAGACGGCGTCAAAGTACAATGTTTTGTTTGCCCAGGTCAAAGAAGGAACGTTCTTTGGTTATTAGTGTCCCAGGGTAAGAATGGATTTCGAGGAAAATAGTACGGTGTTTATGTATACTGTATATGTTTTACTTCATTACGAAGTGTTAAATTAGAAAAAATTACATATTTGAAATTTCTGACATTTTTCAACAGATCTTGAGATTGAAAAAAGCACTGACTGTATCATAGAATAAAAAACGGAAATTCAAACGTGTTTGCTTACTACTGTGCTCGTTTCTTAGTTACAGTGACGGAATGATACAGGTCAGCACATCGACTCATTCTATCGTCGCCGCATACTATCTTGAAACCGAAAATGTTTTTGTAAGTGCGACTAAGTGTTTAAGTTGAAATTTAAATTAATTTGCCTTATACTTAAAATAAATATCGTAAATAGGAACTACTTTTTTATGCCCAGGATAGTGATTTATTAAAATACGCAAGCGCAGAACATTTTTGATTTCAAGATGGACTGCGAATATAGGAAAAGTTAATCATTGAGGAAAGTTACGCACCCGTACGGAATTGTCCGATTACTGAAAAATTCTCGACACTGCCGACTGAATCTTTTATTGGCCGATAACAGTAAGCGACTAGTAGTTCCAGTTCGACAGATTTAGAAAGTTAAATGTTTGTCGATTGGGAGCAATCCGTGAGCCAATGTCAACTTTCAAAGCTGTAGTCAGTGGATTTATCAAAGTATTTCCTCCATCTCCCATTGAGTAGAGGCTTCGAAAGAATTGATGTATGAAATGAGATAGCATACATGGATTTATATATTCGTCGGGCAGATTACAAATATACTGTAAAGTTTTTTTTTTTAATTTAAGTGATTGGCTAGTATTTCGATCCTGAACGCGCGTTCTGATTGACTATAATGAATGGCCACCGATAAACGTATTCAATGCCTCAACTGTTGCAGAACAGTAGAGTATTTTTCTGCTGAGCGGTACTTTCGAACGTGATCTGATGTCACGGTTAGTACCGGAATTCATTTATGGTACTAAATGACACCAATGACAATTAATGCGACATCAAAGCATTAATTAATAACGGTGAACAACGTTAGTGTTTGACGTCACGCTTGATCGTCAGCTAAAGGATGATAGGTACTAGTTACTGTTGTCAGTTGTAACGGTTGAGTCTGCCGAAGACAGTCAATGCGAATACTTGAGTTATCGGTCGGTCCGGCTGTAATTTGACTGCATGTCAGCTAATGCCACCAGAGTGCCTTAAAGTCGATACCAGAGTATCCTATAAAAAGCACACTTGTATCCTTGTTAGTACTGTATGTCAGAAATGTAGGTAAGAGAACTGGTTACATTACGAAATTATTAAAATGCAGTATTTGCAAAGTATAAAGCTTAAACTTTCCAGAAGAAATTAACATCTAAGACTCAAAAAAGAAAACAATGAAGCTGGAGCCAAGAATTTTTTCCTGCTCCCAAAGGTCTAATAGAGAACTTATGGTGTAACATTGGATTTCTAAACGAACTTCATTTTACTTATACAGTACTTATTTTAGGACTGGCATTTGTCTATGTACAGTATCACTAAAGAAAGACAAACTGTAAAACTTGGACATGGTGCTTGCATCGGACTGTATTGGCAGCCGAACATTCCTGGACGCATGTTGTAACATATACAGGGCTGTATACAATTCCTGGAGCCTCCGCAAAATATTGTATTTATACGAGCGAACTCATTCGATTTTATGAGCATAGATTTTAAGTGCTTGCTTGAACTGTATGGGAATTTTTAATCTTTTGAAGGAAAAACTTCCCAAGATGCCCTAGATAAAACTATCGAATGGCTTGCAAATCCTGTGTTAAAATTTTCAGTATACTTACCTGTTTGAAGGTTTCTGAACGCCAAGCATGCATCAACAACACAGCCACAGACACTTGTCAAAGTACAAAGTACCTCTCATGTACAGTATAGTACCTAAAGACCGAATCATCAAGCCGACGAGGGAAGTAGAATGACCGTTTCGCCGAATTGTCTGCCATCTAGATTGTTCAGTTGTGTATGTCTGAGGTGCTGTTGAGACAATGGATATGTTAAGACGCGCACATGGTGGGCAGGCTCTACATACCATCAGGAAAGATGATCTTAGAACAAGCAAGCACGAACAACTGTAACGGCACCTTTGTCCACCATCCAGGGACAGGTGGAAGCATGTCCGTCCATTGACAGGCGACTAAGAGGTAAATATGCATGTGCAACAAGTTTCTAAGTGTCCCGCCATTAGCATCCAACTCTGTTCGTTTCGTTTATAATGGTTCCTTGATAGAAAAGCGTGTTCTATTGCGGACTGGCAGTGTATCGTCTTTAATTCCAGTTCTGTTTGTGACGGATGACTGACGTGTTAGTGTGGAGAACCACTGCCGAGCACTTTAGACCCTGTACACACTAGGCGTTTTTCAACGCGCGTTTAAAAGAACCAAGAGTTCTATGTAGCCGTACACACTCAAAAGCCAAGCGCGCGTTAAACGCGCGTTTTGCGAGCGCTTATAGATTTTTGTTAAAACGCGCGTTTTGCGAGCGCTTTACGGGCGCTTTGAGATATATGTGCTGCCATGTTACCGTACATGCGATCGCGCGTTTTGCGGGCGTCAGCCNGTCTTTTTTTTTTTTTTTATGGACCATTGGAGCTTGAAAAACAACCTATGTATAAAAGTATTTGGGTAAATGCCTGGAGCTCCTTTTAGGCTGTGTACACACTAGGCGTTTTTCAACGCGTGTTAAACGCGCGCTTTTAAACGCACGTTTAACGCGCGTTGAAAAACGCCTAGTGTGTACAGGGCCTTAATCTTACCTTTACTATTGGATGGCACACTACCCTCACTACTAGCGTACCGAGTCGGGAAAGCCGCCTCGTATGGCAGTCACCCCTACTAATAGCAGTCAATGGCACAGCGATACGTACAGGAAATCCTACACTCTCGTGTGTCCACTTTTATGGCAGAGCTGCAAACAGCCATTTTCCGATAAGTCAAATAGGATGTATCTTAAATACTTCCGTACAATTTAGTGCGTAATCCAAGAGTACCCGTGGGGAGTATTGATGCGAAAATTTGTTCCAAAATCTAATGATATTAAAATCTTTTGATAATTAATAGCATTGGGATTAAGATGTAGAAAATTTAATTTGATTTGGTTTGATAGGATACGATAACGTATGAGCAATTTCACTTGACAATCTCCAGGGGTCACGACGATATGCTAAATCCTAGCGAACCCTGGACCAACCAGCGTACAGTGATTTTATCCAGTCGGCCTGGACCGAGTGGATAAAGTCGGATGTAAAGTGGATATAGCCTTTTTTTATTTATGATTTCAAAATACGTCTTCAGTAGAGATATTTTAACTGCAAACTGTACCAAATGGAAAGGAATAGTGGTTTTACTTATCCTCTTCATTAGATCTAGCTCAACAGACATCTGGAAATTAACCACTCTCGGCATCCTTCTTAAATATTAACCAGGTGGCGCGATTTCAGGTTACCAGCGATACATTAACCGTCCCGCATAAGGCTAATGTCTTTCATTATTAAAAAAAATTGAATCGTCCATCACGCGGCATCGTTTCTGTTCGGTCCAAATTGTCAGAGATTGCTACGACTCTCGCCTTCAACGTGTCCGTAGACAACTTTACGAATAAACTCAATACAGATTTTAAAACGTTCTCACATAAATTTACTCTAGCATCATCTTGCGAATAAATAAAATTTAACAAAACCTGAATTTTCCTCGTTATTTCCTTATTTTTATACGCGTTAAAATTGCCCAATCGGTTGTATTATTGAATTTATTTTGTTAGAAACTACGCAAATATTTTTAAAATTATTAATAAAATTCAAAATAAATCGTCCAGTTTCTAGTATTAGTTCATTTATGCCAAAGACTTAACTATAACCGAGCATTTTTTTTCTGTTTACAGTTAATCGTAAACGTGATTATATTCGAGTATTGCTAGAGATTTTAATCACGAATTAATGATTGTGTAACAAGAATATTTAATTACTTAAATGAAAATTATACTTTGCTAGAACGGTTCGTATCCCAGGACGTCATTTATCGCTATTACGTGTCGGATTATAAATTCAAATTGTAATTGCAATTATCCAAAACGATAGTCCAAGTTACCGAATCCGCATAAGAATACATTGTTACCGAATAGCGCAGCCTTTCCTCCCTTTCTAATTACATTGACACTATTAAGTCTGCTTTATCGCTTAAGATGCGTTACGCGTTACTCGCCTGGGTCGCGACGTTTCTGCGAAAATGGTGTTTTATGTTACGTAATCGATAGTAACTATAAAGAGAAAAATGCCAGAAACACACACACCTTTGGGGGATACAGGATGTCCCATATAAATTTTAGTTTAGTAGCTAGGGCGTTTTCGTATTCGTCACAATCTAGAAAAAGAATAAAATATTAAATTTTTAATAAAAACCTGTTCTGTAAAGAATTAATAGGCGTAGTATTCAAATCCACAAACTAATCTCTAATGAAATTAGAATAATAAGAGGATAGTAAACGTGAAGCATTTCTGTTACCACAAGGGCGATCGATTTCAAGTTTATAAGATTTGTTCTACCAGAATTATTTGAAGGAAAAAAAATGTTAGATTTAATAACACTTTTAAACAGTGAAGAGTTTTGTTTAGTTTTACAGTATATAATAACCGGTTGGAGTTATAATCGGGTCAAACGGGATCCGTATGAAGTTTTTTTTTTTTTTTTGAACGACTCATCACTGGAAGTCTGTATAATTCGTGACATTTGGACAATGTAGTGGGATTAGTTTGCCAGTTGTAATAAAATTTGTGCTTAATTCACGTTTTTTGTTCATTCATAAACCGTAAATAGATTAAGAATTTAGAACGAATAACTGTTCAGAAATGAAAACAAAATGTTTATTCATTCAAATATTCGACTGAGGTGTTAAAAAGTAACTAATTTATCATCGTGCAACGTTAGTTCTACGATGATAAATTGATGATGATAAATACATTAAACGATGCTTTGGTAAGAGATTTCGCGTTAAAATTTCGATGAATGAAATCTCATAGTGAAATATTTATAGGATGAAATTCTAATCGCATAAATCAATTGGCGTAACTGCGAT